CAACAAGCTCCCGAGGAAACAGCAGGCCCTCGAACATGTAAGGCAATGGATTGGGTCAAAATATGAGGTTATGAAGCTGCCCAACATTTCGGCAGAACGCTTTATCCGACGGACGCAGGATAGAAACGAATACGTGGTAGTGGTGTACTTTGTCGAGGTCATTCCTCAAAGACCGGGCCGCCCGATATTAAATATGGGAAGTCTGCAGTAGATACCGTTTGCAAAAGCGTTTGGCCCAGTTGCTCTTCCACAGGACTTCCATGTTATCCACTCAACCTCCCTTGCCATTCTTAACAGTTTCAATGCACAGCTCTCGCAGGTGGAGCAGGTGGGGGGAAAGCAGTTTTTGAAGGGGAAAGGGATATGGAATAGGGGGGAGTGCAGGGAGTAGGGAGATGTTATCTCGTAGGGTGCCACAGGAGAGGCGACACCCCGCCAGATACTTACAAGTAGGGATATGGAAGAACAGTGTAGGATGTAATGAGAGCAAGTAGAAAGGGAAACGGTTGCGAGTGATGACATGGAATATCAGCGGCATGGGGGCAAGATCGCTGTGACCCAAACGAAGGGAGTTGGCGGCGAAGGTCAAAGAGGAGCAGATCGATGTGGTATGCCTACAGGAGACCAAGCTAGATGAACAAAGGACTGCAGAACCGGTGCTGTGGTGGAAGGGCCATCGGGTGTGGGCCCCGGCCCGGGGAACGAGAGGAGTGTGCATTTCGGTCCCCCCCCACTTTAGAGGGGAAGTTAAAGACTGGTATTTCGACTCTAGGGGACGGTGGGCCTGGGTTGCCCTACAATGGGAAGAGGAAACATGGGGAGTAGTTATGGTGTACGGCCCCTCTGACATGGGAACGTGAAGGAGAATGTGGGAGAGATTCCAGACCCTGGTGCCAGAGGGGGTTGAGCTCATTATTGCAGGAGACTTCAATTCACTCTCGGACCCATTCTTGGAGTCGGCTACAGCAAGACATATGGAGGCTGATTCTCTAGCACTCACGAATAGTATGACCGGTCTGGGCTGCACGGACTCACATCGGACGTTGTACCCACAAAAAAAATGTATACCTTTTGGGGCAACACGGTGGCTAGAAGAAGCAGGATAGATATGATATGGGCCTCAGCTGCCCTTAATGAAGTAGTGGAGCAGATCCATACGAGCCCTATGGCAACCTCAGACCATTCGGCGGTGATCGCGAGCTATCCGCTTGGAAGGGTGGAGATGGGGCATCCCCCGAAGGCGGTGCCTGCATGGGTATTCAAGAGCGCGGAGTACCGGCCAATGATCCTTCAATTTTGGGAACAGTGGACGGATGGCTGCCAGCAGGAAAACATCCTGGACCAGGTGACTACAGCGGTCCAGGATCTTCGAGAAAGCCTGACCAAACAACTGCGTCACAACTATCTTGCTCACCAGAGAACCGGTGAAGAGTATGTGCATAGAATGGACGAATTGAACGCCGGGCCCCATGAGGGCCAAACTGAAGATGAGTGGTGGGCAGAGAGGGTGGACGTAGCGAGAGAGTGGAAGCAATGGCAAGGTGTTACATACTTCAATGAGTATGGGCAGAACCAAAGATCAACCAATGTAGGATGAGCATATATGCAGCGGAAGTCTGATAAACGGACTGACTCACATAGACTGACTCACACAGACTGACTCAAGAATCACTCCACACACATACAATCGTGAGATGGTGGGGTCTGGGCCAAGCATAGACAATGCCCAGACCTTGTACACGCATACACAGATGAGAGGTGGGAGGAGAGACGAAGGAGGTGGGGGAGGTAGACAGCACCGAAGGTCACCGAGATAGAATCTGATAGGTCACCGATATGGTAGTCCAAAATGTCATCCAACAAGATCAAAATGTCGAGGACAATAGGTCACCAATGTCGGAGGTACAGAGTCCAAATGTAACCGGTGTCCGAACTGTGATGCAGCCGAGTATCAACCCCAACAATCTCCAAGTCTCAAATGCGGTAAGTACCACAGTCTCATACCACCGAAGTCCAATACTGATCTCTGTCCAACTAGTATAAGTCTCCAATCTGAAGAAGAAGAAGAAGAAGAAGAAGAAGAAGAAGAGAGAGAGAGAGAGAGAGAGAGAGAGAGAGAGAGAAGACGGAGGTGAGGAGGAGGGGAACGGGACCGTGGAGGGAGGAAGAGATCCTCGCCTCCTGGTACCTGCCCTGCTGCTGCTGAGGCGGCGATGGCCGCCGTGCTGCTGCTGTTGTCCTCGCTCGCTGCTGCCGCTGCACTAGCTCGCGCTGCTGCTGTCCTTCCTCCTGCGCTAAGAATAGTGCTAAAACGGCGCTCTGGCGCCGACCTTACCGCACCGCGTAGAATACCGGTGTGTCGATAGCCTCACTGAGGCTGGACCGGTACCTTTGTACCGGTGGGCAGAGGTCGGCCTCTATGCTGCGAGGTGCCCTAAACCGTCCATCTGGACGGTTCAGCCCCAACCGGCGGGCGGCAGCCTCAAGAGCGCCGCCAGGCCCAAACGGTAACATCGTTTGGGCCGGCCCGTCGGGTCTGGTCCAAGGTAAGGCCTTTACGGCCTGTAGTACCCCCAAGGTCGGGCCTTTGGCCCTACTGTGTCCCTCTACCCTATGTCGGGTCCGGTAGGACCCGTGTGACGTCGAAGATGTAACACACTCCCCCTCTTAAAAGACCGAGCTACTTGCGAGGGCGGAGTTGTCTGTCCGATACCGGGATGGGTCGGGTGGGACGAGCTGCTGCCTTGGCAAGTCGTGTCTTCTCAGAGTTGGCGAAGATAAGGGGTGCAGAAGTCTGCAAGTCTGCACTAGAGATCCACCGAGTATCGTCAGGCGCACATTGCTTGAATGTGACTTTGTACTGCATTGGCTTGTTGCCATACTTGCGGTGCGTGATGACTCGGTCCACTTCCTGATGTCCGTCCATGGAGGGCGGATCCTGTGATCGACGACCGGGAAACTCGTCATCTGAAGGTGGCGTGTAGATGGCCAGCTTCGATGCGTGGAAGACCCGATGCACTGTAAGGTGCAGAGGGATGTTGATCACGAAGGAAGGACCTGCGGGGTCGTATCCAACGGCAGAAGTGACTTCCCATGGTCCGAACCATTTCGGAAGGAGTTTGCGCGAAACATCCTGCTCGAGCGCAAATTCCTCAGAGAGGACCCAAACAAGGTCTCCCTCGCGGAAAGGACATGGAAGTCGACGTCGGTTAGCCTGCTGCTGCATGCGGATCTGAGCCTTTTGCATATTTGCACGGGCT